GAGCGCACTTCCCCTCAGCACCCGGGAGGCTCCTTGCCCACGGGGAAGCGGGATGGATAGTGAGGGCTCTTGTACCAGAGCTGCTGAGCTGCCGGACCCCTGTGGGATCCAGAAGCTCCCTCCACCAGGAAGTGGAGCAGCAGGTCAATGGCAGCTCCAGACAGGGCAGAGGGAGCAGCAGGGCAGGGTGCTGGGTGGCCACTCTGCAGGCCTGTAGGAGCTGAGCTTCCACTTACTCAAAGTACTCGGCGGCGGGCGTGGTCCAGAAGGTGTCGTTGGGGCCCGGGCTGGCGCTGGCGCTGGCGTTGGCGTTGGTGCGGGCGTCGGAGCAGTTGGGGCTGTTCCAGGAGTTGTTGCAGTGCACCCAGGGCAGCTCGGCGGAGAAGGAGGAGAAGAGGTAGTGCAGCGCCCAGGCGATGATGACGTTGTAGAAGAAGCCCACGTAGAGCGAGATGAGGATGACCGTGAAGCCCACGCCTGGCGGGCGACACAGGCCGTCGGTCGGCAGGGGCCCTGGCACCCCTCGAGCTGGCGGGGCTCTGGCCTCACAGTGCCACGTGAACCCAGGGAGGCTCATGGAGGGGCTGGCCGGGCCTCGGGCTGTGACTTTAGGGAAGGGCCCTCTCCTCTAGCCAGAGACATCAGGATGTCTCTAAGGCCACCCAGGGTACATGAGACCACCCGGGTACCCGCAGGGACCCTTGGGGCTAGCTAAGGACACCCAGCATCTGGGGCCACTCTAGATCATCCAGGGCCACCTAGGCACATCAAGGTCACCCACAGCCACACAGGGCAAGTGGGGACCATCCATTGCCATCACAGCCACTCAGGCTCATCCAGGGTCATGTGGGGGCTACCTGGGTCACCCAAGAGAACATAACCCAGGGTTAGAAGGGGCGACTCTGTCTACATAAAACTGTCAAAATCATCTAAGTCACTTACGGCCACAGTATCACCCTGGGCCATCTTGAGATGCCCATGCCAATTAGGCCATCAAAGGTCACCCACGAACGCTCAGTGTCATCAGAGGACCATTGGGGTCCTCCACGACCATCCAGAGCAACCCAGGCCCAAGGACCACTAAGGGCACCCACACTCTCCATGATTAACCAGGGACACCGTAGCCACAGGGTGGCTCGCAGCCGTCTGTGCTCATCCTTGCTCATTGGGTTTCCCAGACTTACCCAAGGCCACCTGTGGCCACCCACAGGCACCCATACCTTTCCCACCCAGGGTCAGCAGGGTCATCTGGGGCTACTGGCCATCACCCAGGCCAGGCCTGACCATCCCGTCTCCCAGGTTCATGTATGATCATCCAGGCCTCCTAGGGCCTCACGGGGCCACATGAGGTCATCAAGCACCACCACGGAATGTCAGGACCATGTGGAGTCTCCTAGGATCACCCAGGGCCATGCATGAAGATCTGAGGCCACCCAGAGACAGACAGGGCCTGTCACACGCTCTTTCCAGGATCACAGAACCTACAATTTGGGATCCTCCACTTGGTGGGGGTTCCTGGTGAGGTACGCAGAGCCCAGTTGTGAGCAGTCCACAGAATGGGGTCAACCTGATGGTGGCAGATGCTCTGGTGGCTGGAAGGCCTCTGCATGGGTCAAGGGCTGGTCCTCAAGGACAAGCCCGTTGTGTTCTTCCAGTCTGGCTGGCTCCCCGTGCTCCCCGTGCTCCTCATGCTCCCCGCTTTCCTTCTCGGCACGAGCACATGGTGGGCGGGTCTGCGACTTTGATTTAGTCATGGGAACCTGTGGGGTGCCTGTCTGATGGCTTGCAGGGGAGGGCCTACCTTCGGGTGCCTTTTTCAGGGAATGGCGTGGGGCTCTTCCCATGGTTACACACTCGGGGAGGCTGCTCTGCTGATAAGGCACCAGGTTCAAGTTCTCTTCCTATCCCATCAGCAAAGATCAAGGAAGTGTAACTTTCTGTTTTAAACCAGGATCAGGAATGCATATAACCCCTTGGGAAGTGTGCTCAGAGCAGTCAGACAAAACCTGAATGCCCACTTAGGAAGGCTTCTCCAGAGTGGAACTGGTCAGTGATGAGTCACTTACACACAGCTCTGTAGAGAGGCTGGGTTCTGCTAGAGAAGACGGCCCAGGCAGCCATGTTGGGCAGCCATGTTGCCAGGAAGCCAAGATGTTCCAGAAGGCACCTGCAGCTGGCTTTTCAATGTTTTCATGGTTAAAACTTTGAATCCCAAGTCTTCAGCTTGGAACTTGAGGAACTCAAAGGAGCTCTGATCAAACACTAAGGTGCATCCAAGTCTGCTGTGCCAAGGGAGGCCTGACTTGGTCCTTGGTCCTTCCAGGGCCACTGCTGTGTGGGAGAGTTCTGGGCTTCACAGCAGAGGGGCAGGGGCACCACCCTTCGCAGGAGAGGAACAAATCAGTCACCAAGCAAATGGGCTTGTGTGGTCAGCAACACAGCACACGGGAGGGCCTTGTCCAGCAGCCCAGGTGCCTGGGGAGAAAACGGCTGCCCAGGAGGGTGGTTGCAAGTGTTGACTGCTCCTCTGGTCACACTGAGCTCTGCACATCAAGAAGGCAGACTGTGCCCCTGACATGGAGCCTCACCAGCCCAGGAACCTCGCTGCAGCTCTTCCTTAATGCCATGGAAGACCCGGCCATGGGGAAGCCACGTGCCCCGCTGCAGCCACATCCGGGTGCTGTGCGAGGAGGACAGCACAGTGAGGCTCCACAGGGGCCTCTCTTGCCACTTAGTGCCAATGGTTTCCGTCTCCCCTGAGCTGGTGGCAGTCTTCCTCCGGAGGAACGGAGGAGCCAGGGCGCTTCCTTTCCCGGGCACTCAGTGACAGCCGTGGACGCCAGTCTCAGCTCTCACTACCGATTTTCTTAGACTTCTATTTTCTTAGTATTTCTTCATGTTAACCTTGTGTGTATTCTATTGTTTCCTTTGAGCCACTTTGAATTCTTTTTCAGAACGAGGATGAGTTTGATCAGTCACACTAAAACATTACCGACTGCAAAACATGATGATCCTTTTACGTGCCATACCATAAGGTGGTTTCCCACAGCACAGTCTGTCCTTGGCACTAAGCACATAACCTGAAAGGGGGCTTCCCGCTGACCCGGGCACGGAGTCCCCAGGAGAGCCACGTGCACCTTTCCCCACCCACAGGAGCCAGCGCTCCTCGAGCACCCACAGCTGGCTGTAGGACAGTGTCACAGACACCCTGCAGGAGTCCTGCTGGAGAGCACACTCCATGATGGGGCACGACCTACAGTCCCTACGGAGTCGCTGGGCAGGACAGAGACACGTGGAGAGAATGGGAAGGAGAGGGGGGATGGAGGGGAGGGAGAGGGAAGAGCCGGAGTTTGCAGACGTTCTTCTCCAGGGCCGACCAGGCAAGCTGCTGGAGGCCCCCTGAGCCTCTCTATCTGCTTTTCCTCGGGCCTTGGAGACTGCAGAGGGACCACCATGACTCACGGCCTCAGACAGCTGGGCTCTTCGGACTTCACCGTCTGGCTTTCAAAGCGGAGCTCAGCTCCTGGTTAGGAGCAGGGGCAGCTCCCAGGGCTACCCAG